ACCTCGTCATTGTTTCTGCTGTCTCCTCTTCCTCGTCGATTCTCACCAACACTACCATTACGTCTAAATAAGTGTGGCATGTTATCTAAGTTTTGTGCTTCGCGTAGAGTTCGATGCTGATGCACGTTGTACATAATTTTAAGAAGACAGAAAAAGAAGAAATGCTATTGACTACTGTTAGAATAATGTAATGAAAGCGAGTAGATGAAGAAGAAACAACTTTTTTCTTTATAAACAACATCAAAAGAACAACAGAGTTTTAATCCCATCAATAATAATAGCAGAGAGAGAACAATAAAATGTGTTATTGGTGATTGATTTAATGTTACATAAATTATCAAAGACAACTTGCAATGTACACTTTTCTTTCCGAAGATATAAGAAGAAGAAGACTCCTACCTTTCGGCTACCTTGCAGTATGGGATGCTGTCCAAGGACAGTTTCGTTAGCCCGATATATTGTTTTCTACAAGTATTACTAGCTGTAGCTCTTGACAGAAGGCTGGTCTAACTCAGAGTTCTTCTGCTCAATCATTTGAGCTCCCCGCACACACCGAAGAACCACATACTAGTCAAGGGCCGACGTATGTCACGATGCAATCAGTGTGCTAAGAGATAAGAAATATCAATGTTCGTATACGTTATTTAATCATAGTTCAACTAATATGATGATAATAAATTTTCGATAAGACTCTTTTCGTTATCATTTGTGCTCTAGTAAGTTTTGCGTTGCAGTATTCACTCCCTTAATACATTGTATTAGCGACTAAAATACACCATAGGATGCAGCATGACAAGCTCTACAATTTAAATAAGACTACTTATTTTACAGTTTCATTTTTTTTTGTTTTCAAAATGGACAAAATTTTAGGCGATCAAATTTCGACCATGGGAAATAGATAATGTTTTTCATACACGACGAATTCACTTTTTGTTATTCCATCATTTCATCACCTGCTATGCTTTATCAAAAGAAAAATAAAATACACTACAAGATACAGGGTGAAAAGCTCTACAATCTTCACAGTAAAGCTTATTGCAATTATTTTCAAAAAAAGGAAAAATTCTGCGCGACCAATTTTTACAATGCCCCAAAATTTTGGGTGCGGGTGTGGGTGTGGTTGAAGAAAGCATCTATCTCTACATTCACACCCACCCACACCCACACCCGCAGAATACCTTTCTCAGGTCGAAAAATACGAAAAACTTGAAGGATTCGGTTTTTTTCAAAAACCACATCCTTTTCAAAATATACTTTATATTTTTCTTCGTGCTTCTATTGAGCTTCTGATAATATCTTTTTCGGATTTAGCATCAAAAACTGAGTCTAGACGAGTTGTTAAACCGACTCTAGATCCCGACACCTTTTCACAATGACGCTCCGAATCATGCCGAGCGCAACGCGCATAGGTCGATTTTGTAAATGCATCAAGTTTCTCTACATAAGCGATGAAGTAAAATATTTTATCTCATTCAACTTATCATACCATTAGTTACAAAACTATATATCCTTTTCTTTCATTTATTGAAAAAAAAATCGTTTTTACCGGTAATTTCTATTTTTCTTGTCAAAAATTAGAGTTTTTACCCAAAAGAATACCATATTTGGCATTAGCGTTAAAAATTGAATCGATTGATGTATATTTGTATCGTGTCCAATCGCTTCACTTTTTTTTTGAGTTTTCACCTATTACGGTGTTTGAAAATTTCGCCAAAAAATCGAAAACAATGGAACGTAGAAAAAACATACATGAATCGACTCAGTTTTTTATACTGATTTCAAATATAGTATTCTTCTTATATAAAGTCTACTTCTAGATGAAGAAAATTGAGAATTACTGGCAGAAACCTAGCTATTTTGGTCAAAATTTAGTAAAAACGATTTTTTTCAACAAAGGAAAGAAAAGAAGAAAAAAAGGATACATAACTTTGTGACTGGTGGTATGATGAGTCGAATGAGATAAAATATTTCACTCCATCACTTACATATCCAGGTCAATCACGCTCCGCAGTAAACAGTCGTTCACTAACCAAATACGGCGAAAAACGGCAACTGTTTACGTTAGTCACATACGGCACCAGTAAACGACGATTTACAGCATATTACAGCAATCGTACACAGTGCCCGTAAAATTTCATCGTAAACGACTAACGTAGCAATACGGTGACCGTATACTCTGGTCAGAAAATAACGTAAGGCATCGTATTCGTCAGCCGTTTCCGGTGATCATTTACAACAGTCGTACACGATGCTTTACGGCATACTACGGCGATTGTAAACATTGACCGTAAAATATCATCGGAAACGCCTAGCGTGGCAAAACGGCGACTGTACACGCTGGTATTATTAAATGTCGTAAAACACAGTGTACGGGAGCAGTATACGCTAGTCGCTTACGGCGATGGTAGACGACATTTTATGATGATTTACGGCCGATGTAAACAATTGCCATAAACAGTCACCGTGTACGACTTCTGTAACAATATGCCGACTGTATACGTTCATCGCATAATATCGCGACGCACCGTCTTTGTTTATTGTAATTCTTTCGATATAGAATCACTATTTGTTATTATATTTCATCAGAAACGATCTATCCATGGAGAGTTACGCCAGCACTGACACATAGGCAATCGATCGATAGACCGTTTCCAAGAATCCTAGGATACGCCCGACCATCGCTATCACTTGTGTCCACAATAAGCGAGAAGAGTGCCTCTTAAACTTGATTAGTCGGTTTCAATTGGTCCGCGACACCCTGATTTGTCAATCTTGATGAGGGAACTGGAAGAAACCCACACATATATCCATCAATAGATAGAGCACTCTCGATAGCCCTATGATCGGCCCGAAGGGTGTGGGTGTGGGTGGGTGTGGAATATATCAAAAACATGACACATGCCCACACCCATCCACCCACATCCACATCCACACCCACACCCTAAATTTAATGATATTTGTTAAATTGTGAATGCAAATCATTCCGTTTTTAATCAATATTTCCACTATTATATCTAGGCAACGATATTGACGATTTCATGTAATGAAGAAACAAAATAAAGGTCTCATGATAGAATTAATTAATCGTGATATGAATGTTGGCATGTCATCAATCTACATCTTGTGATCAAGTAGATGAATTCTTTCCTGTAAATTTTTTATGGTAAAACAAAGACAACGAAGGTAAGAACGGTCGGACAAAATGACACAAAATAACCGATTAAGTAACGCCATGGATCATGTGGTGGCTGCATATAGTTGGATAAAAATGAAAGCACAAGGCATGGCAACGCCAATAACATAAGCATGCATGGAGAAAATAAGAAGTATTTATGTTGATGAAACTGTTCACCTAGATGCTCTTTATATGTTTGTTTTGTAGGTAAAATTGATCGCTGTCTAGCAACAGTAAAAATGATGATGAAAGCTGATATACCATTGATAAAAAAAGGAAGTAGAAAATGAAAAAAAAGTATAATAGAATCATAAAGTTTGATCAAAGATGAGTAAGAAGTAATGCACCATATTCGTTGCTCCTCTCTATCATCGATTAAACGTCGATTAAGAGGATCATGAACCATGCTAAATATAGTAAATAAGATGACGATAATAATGATCCGTTTAGCGATATATTTGCTTTTGTTTTTATCAAAATGCGTTCCTTTCCGAACGGCAAATGCTCCTTCAGCGGCTACACAGGCATTTAACCAATCACCTGTACTTAATAATACTCGAAGAAGAAAATCCATTGATACACAATTGAACAAGAGAAATGATCGATTAATGTTGAGAGCTATTTGTGTATAAATCAGAATGAAAAATTTCAGTACGAAAATGATCATAGGGAGAAGAGAGATGCTTGATGTCGATAAAAGATAGACACCGCAACCAACTTTTAGGGATATTTCAGTTTGAAATGTAACAATCGAAAAATTACTACTGATAAGACTCAGAACAAACATAATAAATGTGGAAATCTCGGATTTAAATCCGAGAGTTATGTGTACTTCAAAAAGTGAATGAGACAGATCAGCCATCTTATAATGTGTGGACATCAAAATTGTTCTAGCAAACCCTTTCTGCAATACACTTGATTTCTATTGGCTATTGCTCAACCAATACGATTTGGAGGCAAATACAGCTCAGATTTGAACTCTTCACGTTGATTTACCCTAAGAAAGTCGTTTTTCCTATAACTTGATATCTATTGGTTACTGCTCAACCAATGGAATTTTGAGATGAAAGGAGGCCAGATTCGAGTTCTCCACTACAGAAAACCTCGAACTATCATCTCTGTGATCGGAAGATAGAGCTGTAATTGTGGATCAGTTAGAGCGTGGACAAAAACAGAACTGATTTCCGTTTAATTATCTTTGCAATAGGTGAGTTAGCTTTCTTGTTTCCTTATGTTTTGTATACCATTTTGTAGCTCGTGAAATTCTCTATCGAATGATATATAATAGTTGGAGTTTTAGTTGACTATGATAGGAAAAGTTGTTTACGAAACCGGGAATCGGTCGATCTTTCCATAGGGAAGGTATAGGGAAAGATGAGTATTTTTGCAATAACTCAGGAAGGGCTCGGCCAATCCTTCTCATCTTCGAACTCGACCGAGATATTATTAAGACTGAACTGTGTAGAAAATTTCATTGCGATTAGACTCTGCTTTCAAAAGTTATCATGTAAACAGGCGGACGGACGGCCGGACACACTGACCGATTCCAGAGTGTACTCACTTTTTGAGTACACAAAAATGACCACTATGGCACTGGTTTTTATAGAAATTGGTTGCGGGTGTGGGTGTGAGTACGAGTGTCCTCTCCTATCACACCCATACCAGCACTCACACCCACACCCCATGCCCACACCCACACCCCAACCCACACTCACCCTATACCTTCAAGATACCCACACCCTACAACATATTCGGATTCACTGCGGTTTGATTGTTTGATTATGTGCTGGCTACCAGGGCAAGAACGTTAAGATAATATTAGTTTTTAAAAAATGCAACTTTGATCAATATTGAACTTCTGTACGCGATGATCTCCACTATCAGTGACATAGAGATTTCCTTGTCGATCAAATGACAAACCGACAGGACCAGAAAGTTTATTTGATTGATTTCTATGACCATTTTCGCGAATGATAACACTTCCCTGTGTGACACCTTGATACCAACGCATAATTCGACGATTCGAATAATCAGCTATATAGATAATACCGGACTGATCGACGACGATACCATATGGATTTGTTAATTGTGCAAGACTATTTCCTTGCCCTTGACCACCAGCTACAATAATACCTTGTTTAGCATCTTTCATCCACTTCATTACACGGTGATTATTAGAATCTGATACGTAGACTGAATGATCTCTGTCGACAAATACGTATCTAGGATTATTCAATTGATCAAGTCGATCACCTGGTCCGTTTCCACCTGCAACTAGCGTTCCTTGGCTTTCTCCTATTCGATAACGTCTGACATCATGTTTATCCTGATCGACAACATAGAGAAATCGATCATCGCCCATTGTCAAGCCACAACATCCAACATTTGAGATGATTGTTTCTCCATGTGTACCATTTTGACGAGGCCATCGAACAACTCTTTTATTTTTGTAATCACAGATGAGAAGACTATCGCTTTCTTTATCAATAATCGCATCGTACGGACCATTCAATTGATGAGGACAGTTTCCGGGTCCATTTCCACCAGCCACAACTCGACCAGTCGTTTCACCACATTTCCACTCTATAATACGATGATTCCAAGAGTCAGTAATGTAGACAGTTTGATCTTCATCAACACACAAACCCCATGGGTAGTATAGCTGATTAATATTACTACCGTATCCATTTCCGCCAGCTACAGTGATTCCACACTGTATCCATCGTGCATTGACATTTAAATTTACCTTGGATAGTAATGGTGCTGAAACAAAAGACAATTTTGTTCGTTCACGTTAGATCAGCATACGTCGATAAGAACCGATATTCGAAGTAGAGAAGTTTGACTGGGAAACCAATAGAGAGAAATAACAGTTTTACTTTATTTTCAAAATAAACAAAGCCTTAATAGTGATCTTGTTGTTCTGATATTTGAAATGACGATTAATATTTGAACTTTCGAATTAAAGATCGAGATTTCTTTTCATTTCGCCATCAGTTGTAAACAATTGACTGTCTGTTAGTCTCGGTGGAAATCGAATTTTCATTTTGAATACTTTACAGAGAATGTTCCTTTAAAATTGATTAAATCGGACTTTTCGCTTCAACTATTTTTCCGAAGATGAAGATCAACAGAATGTTGCCAACTCTCTTTTTGAAATGAAATCTCAGTTAAGAACTACTGATAAAATTTCAATAATGAAATAAGAAATTTGTGTTCGAGGATCAAACGATCGACACTTTAAGATATGTTCGATACAATTTCATGCAATCTGATTTCCATAAAAACAACAGAATCAACGTATAAAACATGAGAAAAACCTTATCAACTTTTTCTAATCATTCCGAACCTCATAGATGCAACACTAGTTTTGAAATATTTGAAACGAATCTTTATTTTCGAAAAAGTTCAGAAAGTTTACGACAAAATGTAAACACTCTTCATTTCTATTATATTCATCAAACGACAATCCATAGACAAGAGAATCAAATGTTGAAGTTTTCATAATAAACTTTCAAAGAAAGTTCTTTCATCACTTTTCCATTGTTTTATTCATCTTATATTTTTATTTCTCTATAT